AATAATTGGAAAAGAAGAGATCAAATTATCCCTTTTTGCAGATATGATATTGTATCTAAGGGACGCCAAAACTTCCACCCCAAAACGCCTAGAAATTATTAACACGTTCAGTAAAGTGGCAGGATACAAAATTAACCTACAAAAGTCTATAGTCTTTCTATATACCAATAACAAGCAATCAGAGACAGATCACATGGAAACACTCCCCTTCACAATAGCTGAAAAAAAAATCTCGGAATAAACCAGACCAAAGACATTAAAAAGCTCTACAATGAAAATTTTAAATCTTTGAAGAAAGAAATTGAAGAAGACATCAGAAGATGGAAGGACCTCCCATGCTCATGAATTGGAAGAATTAATATTGTGAAAATGACCATCCTACCAAAAGTCATATATGTAGATTCAATGCAATGCCAATCAAAATCCCCATGACATTTTTCACAGAATTGGAAAAAACTATCCTAAGATTCATATGGAAGCACAAAAGACCTCGGATAGCCAAAACAACCCTGAGCACTAAGAGCAATGCTGGGGGGATTACTATACCAGATTTCAAGCTGTATTACAGAGCTATAGTCATAGAAACAACATGGTACTGGCACAAAAATAGACCCATAGATCAATGGAACAAGATTGAAGATCAAAATATGAGCAAATGCAATTTCAGCCACCTGATTTTTGATAAAGGGGCCAAGAACATGAACTGGAGGAAAGACAGCATGTTCAGCAAATGGTACTGGCAAAACAGGATCTCCAGTTGTAGACGAATGCAACTAAACCCCTATCTTTCAACCTGCACAAAAAATCAATTCCAAATGGCTCAAGGACTCAATGTAAAGCCTGAAACTCTGAAACTATTAGAAGAAAACACTGGGAAAAACCTACAAGATATAGGCGTAGGAAAGGATTTTCTAAACCAGACATCAATTGCTCAGGAAACAAGGGCAAGAATTAACAAATGGGACCTCATTAAACTAAAAAGCTTCTGTACATCAAAGGAGACAACCAAGGAAGCAAACAAAACACCCACAGAATGTGAGAAAATCTTCACCAGCGACACAACACATCCGACAGAGGTTTAATAACCAGAATTTATAACGAACTCAAAAAAGAGAGAACCAAGACAAGAAGCAACCCAATTAAAAGATGGACTAAGGAGCTGAACAGAGAGTTCTCAAATAAAGAAGATAGCTATGAAACATCTTAAAAGATGTTCCACATCACTAATAATTAGGGAAATGCAAATTAAAACCACTTTAAGATTTCACCTTACCCCAGTCAGACTGGCTAAGATCAAGAAAACAAATGATACCAAATGTTGGAGAGGATGTGGGGAAACGGGAACACTCATCCACTGCTGGTGGGGCTGGGTCAATCCTATGGACGTGTTATCCAAAATGGAGTCACTCAGGTCTCTCACTCTAAACCCCAAGCCCATCTCTTTAATGTTGTTGTTGTTATTCTTTGAGACCAGGTTTTACTATGTTGCCCTGGGTGGCCTAGAACTTGATATGTAGACCAGGCTGGTCTTGAACCTGCCTGGCTCTTGAGTGATGGGATTAAAGATGCATGCCAACATGTGGGCCCAGTTTCATCAGTCCCTTTTGTTCTCCTAGACAGCTTTGCTTCTCCTTTCATGTTATGGATAAAGACATGATGTTATGCACCTATATAAAACCTAGGAGCCACATATAAACCATTTTGGGACTGACATCATTTGGTTAATATTATCTGCAGTTGCATCCATTTTCCTGCAAATGTCATAACTTTGTCTCTTTTTGTTGTAAAACTTATACTGTGTATATGTGCCGTGTTTTCTTGTCTATTCCCTAAACTAGGTGTTACTGGTTACCTTGCCTGGTTCTGTAACTGAGCTATTTTAAAGGGTGTCACAATAGACATTGAAGTACAAATCGCTCTGTGATATTTTGGCTTGGAGTCTTTTGGGTAAATAAAGTTTGGTCATGTGGAAAATGTATAAAATAAGTATTCTTATTCAGATTTTTAAAAAGGTATCCTATAGACCCAAAGTGGACAAATTGTACAATGGGAACAGACATTAGCACACCAATGGGAAAGAAGAGAGAACTCAGAAATAGATCCCTACATAAAGGAGCCTGACAGATGGTAATGGTGGTTTTGACAGGCAATGTAAAAGACACAGTCTTAAGAAAACTGTCATGTCACCGTGTGAATTCCTTCAGTTGGGCTGGAGTGAAATGTGAAAAGTTCACGGTATAAGGTCAAGAGCAGAAAACAGGGTTCCGATGGGAAACACTTCACGAATAAAATTCAAAAGCCTAAGCCACAAACAAATGAGACAACAGGAAATAAAAATAAAGACTGTTTAGCTACATACATCTTAAAACGGAAAGTGCAATCCTAGCGCCTCTGAGCCGGACCTACGCATATGCCCTACCAGACCCTTCGCGGGTCCCGTCGCTTCCGTTTCCCTCCTTGGCCCCGCCCACCTCCGGCACTTCGTTTCCGGCTTAGCCCGGAACTACAGCGGTTTGCCTGTTCTTTTAAGGCCGTCTCTAGGCGGGGTGGTGCCTGAGGTGTCCGGGTTCCGTACGGGTCGGCCGTCGTCCCCTCGCTGACCGCCCGCAGCCCGGTCCCACCACCCGCGCGACGAGTTTTGGTTCGCCATGGCCAGGGGCCGCCGCGGCCAGCCGGGCGTGAGGCCGCCTTCCGCCTCCGCAGCCCGCGCGCTGCCGTGGCCCCTGGGCCCGCGGGCGCCCGTGTCGGTGTGAGCGCAGCCCCTGCGCCTGGTGTGCCCGGCCTCATGGCCTCCGAGCGGTCCCCGCCGCCGTCGCCCGGCCCCCCGGAGCCGGAACTGGCGCAGCTGAGGCGGAAGGTGGAGAAGCTGGAGCGCGAGCTGCGGAGCTGCAAGCGGCAGGTGCAGGAGATCGAGAAGCTGCTGCACCACACGGAGAGTCTGTACCAGAGCGCAGAGAGCAACAACCAAGAGCTCCGCACGCAGGTGCGCGCCCCGCCTCTGCCCGGCGCAGCTGCCCCGCAGCCCCAGGCGGAGCTGGGAGGGAAGGCTGGGGAAGGGCTCCCCTGGCTGCTGCCAAAACAGCTCAGTGAATACTTGAAGTTATAAAGCTCAGAACTGTTACATTTGGAGCAAGCTGAACAATTCAAGACAATTGACGCAGACGACTGGTTCGAGGCTGGGGTGAAATGAACCCCAGCATTTGGGCTTCAAGTTCATCTCACTTGTCTCAATGTACCATTGGCCGTAGGCACATTGTTTTTTAGGTCATATTTGAAATTTTGTTGTTGAGACAAGGTCTCCATCTGGGCCATGAACTCTCTGTGAAGCGGACAATGATCTAAAACAATTCACCAGCCTCCGCTTCCCTAGTGCTGGGGAAACGTTTGGGCACGTTTTTTTCCTTATTTGGCTTAGGTCTCAGCATGTAGCTTCAGGTGGGCTCAGATTCACTGAGATCCTGTCTGCCTCAGTGGTGGATTACAGGTGTGAGCCCCACACCCTGCCCTTTGAGTTTGCTAGAGAGCTCAACTTTTATTAGAATCCCATTTCTACCACTAACTAGATGTGCACATTTATACCGAGCCCCAGTTGCTGATCTGAGTAATAGCACACAGCAGTAAAGGTTAAATACAATCAAGCAAGGGCACACTTTCGTTTTTACAAACTGTTGAACACATTTGTGTATCTTAGGTTATCGATAATCTTGGATTCACTTGTGAAAGTAGAGAGGTATATCCATCTTTCTTAGAGATACTGGAAGCTTGTTATAGTTTCATAATCTATAGTAAGGATAAATACCTAACAATGATGATTTAAGAAACTATTTTTTAATTGGATGTGGTGGCACATGCCTTTAATCCCAGCACTCGGGAGGCAGAGGCAGGCAGATCTCTGAGTTCAAAGCCAGCCTGGTCTACATAGGGAGTTCCAGGCCAGCCAGGGCTACATAGTGATACCCTGTCTCAAAAAACAAAACCTAGTAATTTAACTGTTTTCTCCTTCGTAATTTAATAATACATTTTCTAAAGCTATATCTATAGCCTAGACACTAAAATGTCACCAAACTTTACCTTACTATTCCATGTCTATGCATGTGTAGTATGTGCATGCATACCTGTATGCACATGGAAGTCAGAGGAGAGCATCTAGGGTATCGCACTCTGCCTTATTCCTTTGAGGCAAGTTCTCTTCCTGACCCTGGACCTGAAATTTGGCGAGGTTGGCAGCCAGCAAACCCCAGTGATCCTCCTGTCTCTACCATCCACAGTGCTGGGGTTACAGGTGTGCTGGACACCATACCACCTTGTTATGTGGGTGCTGGGATCAGAACTCAGGTCCTCAGAGGTTGCACAGCAAGCACTCTTAACCACAGTCATCTCTCCAGTTCCTGTCATACTGTTCTTAAGGAGCTATGAAAATAACTGCTGAGCTGAATTGATTTCTTGGTCCATTGTATAGAGTTATTGGCATTTTTAGTTTTCTCAGCAGCTAGTCTTTACAGTATACAGGAATTGTACTAGGAGAATGCAAATATGTTGTGTGTGACTGTCATGGGAAAAGGAGCAAAATATGACAGCTTTAAGTAGAAACTTCTAACTTTAAGTTGTTAAAGTTCTGCCTGTGTTAGAGGTCCTGAAAGAAAATGTTTTTCCCCCTAATCTTACAGCAGCCATCAGTTTCATTATTAGTGTTAATTTGGTAGTGACTCAACATCAAAAATGGAAATGCAGGTTGAACCAGGTGGCTCCTACCTATAGTCCCAGCTACAGGTTAGGTAGGTGGATCTCTTGAGTGCAGAAATTTGAGGCCAACCTGGGTAATATAGAGAAGCCTTGTCTTAAATAATAAAAAATCTGAGATCAGAACTTGGTGGTAGAGTGCTTGTAAGTATGCTTGAAGTCCTCGCTTTCATCCCTAGCACCGAAACTGCCAAAAACAACCCCCCAAAGTGGAGAAAGTCTTGATTCTTGCCTATGGTAATAATACCTTCTTGTCAGCCTTCCGTACCAGAAGAGTAGGGTTGGGTTAGCTGTCACCCCAAATTTCTGAATATGTTTCATTTGAAGTAGTAAAATGTTGTCCTAAGAATTAAGGATGACCTGATTTAAAAACATATGTGCTGGTTTGGGGGAATCAATAAGCTTTTTGCAAATTACTTTGCCTCAAGATGTTTCATATGTAAAACTGGCATCAGGAAAACTAATTTGTAAGGTGGTTGTATAAATCAGGATGTTATCCAAAGTACCAGTATAGCTGCCCTGCTCATAGTGTAGTAGCTACTAAATAATCTAGTTCATAGGAATAGTGGTGGCAGTCAGAGTGAGCACTCGGCCTCCTGGGGTAAAGAATTTACTTACTGAGCTATGAATCTGAGAGTGAATGCTTCCTTAAAATTTTCCCCACTCTGGACGCCTTGATAGTAGGAACAGATCTCATAATTCATAAAGGGTCTAGATAACTTGTATGTAATCATGCTACTTCCCTTTCTCGAGTTTATCATTAAATATTTAGAAGCTTTTAAATTGGTTTCATACAATAATACTGTTTGACATTGAAATCTTGTCAGACCAAGGTGAGGTGTGCGGACCGCAGCAGTTCCCATTGGCTCACGGGCATTTCCACACATGCGCCCTGGCCTGTGCAGCATCCTTCAAGGGTGTTTCAGTGCATGAAGCACATAGAGGAAAGATTCCTCTCTCAATCATATCCTCTGTTCCCTTCTGCTGTAGTTACTTAGTGATGAGACTAAAGGGGGAAAAGTACGTTAAAGCATAAAATGGCATTACTGTAAATTATTCCAGATGGATGTCACCAAACAATAAATAAAGTTTTAAAATTTTCTAATTTTAGAGATAACTGTTGACCTTTTAAGTACTAAAATAGGCCTTTTCTTTGTGGTGGTGCTAGGGGTGGAACACCAGACCCCTTGCCTCCCATTGAGCTGTATTTTCAGCCCCAAACATTCCGTTTATTAGAAATAAAGGATTCTGTTCACAAAGTCCCCTCCCCTCCCCTTCCCTCCCTCCTTTCCCTCTTTCCCTCCTTTCCCTCTCTCTCTTCCTCCCCTCCCTCCTTTCCCTCTCTTCCTCCTTTCCCTCTCTCTTCCTCCCCTCCCCTCCCCTCCCTCCTTTCCCTCTCTTCTTCCTTTCCCTCTCTCTCTTCTTCCCCTCCCTTTCCCTCTCTCCCTCCTTTCCCTCTCTCTTCCTCCCCCTCCCTCCTTTCCCGCTCTCCTTCCTTTCCCTCTCTCTTCCCTCCCTTTCCCTCCCTCCTTTCTCTCCTTCCTTTCCCTCTCTTCCTCCCCTCCTTCCCTCCTTTCCCTCTCTCCTTTCCCTCTCTCTTCCTCCCCTCCTCTCCCCTCCCTTCCTTCCTTTCCCTCTCTCCCTCCTTTCCCTCTCTCCTTCCTTTCCCTCTCTTCCTCCCCTCCACTCCCCTCCCCTCCCCTCCCCTCCCTCCTTTCCCTCTCTCCCTCCTTTCCCTCTCTCCTTCCTCCCCTCCCCTCCTCTCCCCTCCCTCCTTTCCCTCTCCCTCCTTTCCCTCTCCCTCCCTCCCTTCCCTCCTTTCCCTCCTTCCTTTCCCTCTCTTCCTCCCCCCCTCCTTTCCCTCTCTCCCTCCTTCCCACCCCTCCCCTTGGACCTCATGCATGCTAGGCAAGTGCTCCACCACTGAGCCATATCCCTAGATGGGTCACTTGGATGTTTACCTAGAGAGTTTAAAAACTGTGACTTTCTGCAAGGAGATCTTTTTAAAGGTTAAAAACTCATTCAATTTTATGTCTTACAGGGCTTATACTGAGTTC